AGAGAGAGAGAGAGAGAGAGAGAGAGAGAGAGAGAGAGAGAGAGAGAAGGAGTGTGTATATTACAAAGTATCTTTTACGTTTATTTTGTGTTTGCAGTTATTCAGGTAATTAATTAGTTTGTAATAAAGAAGGAGAGGCAATAGAATCGGTTTTGTTTTATTGACCCTTTTTCTGGCGTTAAATGTAGTTCATAAGTATATTTAAGAAAAAATCGTTTTTTCTTTAGTACGCTTTATTTTTTTTTTTTATTTATAGGTATATTTAAGAAAAAATTGTTTTATTCTTTAGCGCTTTGTTTCTTTTTTTTTAAGTCGGGATGGCAATCGAGTTTTTAAATGTTAATGGAGAGATGGTATCTCACATTATTGTCCCCATCATAGGGGATGGAGCCTGCCTGTTCCGAGCCCTCTCCTATCTCATGTATAACACACAGTTAATGGCGAGGGAAGTGCGTGAGATAATCGTGAGTCATGTGGTGGATAACTGGGAGGAATTTTCAATTATGTCCCACGACAGCTTGGGGAACAATTACAATAGCTTCAACGAGTATTTTGATGAAATGTCGAAACCCTTTACTTATGGTGGTTTATGCGAGTTGGTGGCGGCTGGGCAACTGTTTGGGTTTGTTTTTGAGGTTTACCGAAATGGTGAGCTCTATGAGAGTTTTGGTGCGGAAGGTCACCCTGTTAGAAGGCTACGTTTTACACAGGACATTTCTAAGGGACATTTTGATGCGTATGAGCAATGTGAACCTGAGGAAGTGATCAACACATCGTCCTTCTCTCAGCTTGATTCCACCTCACACCTCTCACAGGCAACACTTTTTTCTGTTCCTAATAAGGCTCATGGAAAACGTCGGACTAGATACACCAATGCGAAAAGGAGGAAGCAACTTAAAGATGCGTCAAGAAAATATGCACAGAATAACCCTGAGGTCCACAGAGCAGCGGTGGCTAGGTATCAAAAAAATAACCCAGAGGTGAACAGAGCAGCGGTGGCTAGGTACCAAAAAAATAACCCCAAAGTGAACAGAGCAGCAGTGGCTAGGTACCAACAAAATAACCCCGAGATGCACAGAGCAGCGGTGGCTAGGTACCAACAAAATAACCTCGAGATGCACAGAGCAGCGGTGGCTAGGTACCAACAAAATAACCCTGAGATGCATAGAGTGGCAGAGTCTCGGTATGAACAAAGTAATCCTGGAAGAAGAATAGAAAGGCGAGTACTTCCGTGGATGGTCAAAGCCTACTCAGGCATGGCATATGATCCTGATGTGGCTTATGAGGCAGACAGCACTATAGCTTTGGGAACCATGAGCCACAAGTGTCAGTACTGTAATGCTTTCAAGTGGAAGGAGGAGACCCTCGGCATGTGCTGCAATGCTGGAAGGGTGCAGCTTTCACCCTTCGAACCTCTGCCTGAGCCTCTATACAGTTTGGTAATGGGCAGCCACCCAGAGCATGTCCACTTTATGAACTATATTAGAAAGTACAATGGCTGCTTCAGTATGACATCATTCGGGGGCAAGCAGGTTCTACAAGACGGCTTCATACCGACCTTTAAAGTTCAGGGGCAGGTATATCACTTGGTAAGAAGTCTGCTGCCAGTACCTGAACAGGAAGCTCGATTTTTACAAATTTATTTTGTGGGCGAGGATGAAAGGGAAGTGAGATTAAGATGTATTAGCAACTTTTCAGATGTCAAACAGGGATTAGTCAAAGAACTGCAGAGAATGTTACATGATGTCAACAGCTACATAAAAGATCTGAAGACCACTTTAGATAAGGTATCTCCAACTTGCAAAAAGTTTGAAGTTGTCATCTATGCAGATAGAAAACCTGCTGACGCTCACAGAGGTCGCTTCAACGCACCGATAGCAAATGAGGTAGCTCTGGTGATTGTTGGTCAGCAATTTGATCAGCGAGACATCGTGCTGCAGAGCCACGATAACAAACTGCGGCGCATTAGCAAGATTCACCGGTCATACGACGCCTTGCAGTACCCGCTCCTGTTTTGCCGTGGCGAGGATGGATACTCGATTACCATTCCACAGCGCGACCCTCAGACTAAGTTGCTACTTAAGAATTTAGTTTCCGCAGCGAGCTTCTACTCATATCGAATTATGATTAGGGAAGGGGAAGTCAACCACTTGGTGTACTTTCGTTCTCTTTTTAGTCAATTCCTGGTTGACATGTACGTCAAAATAGAGACAGAAAGGTTGAACTACATTAGGAACAACCAGGCGCAGCTGAGGGCAGACAGCTACATTCACCTGAGGGACGCCGTGGGAAGGCAGGATGCTGACGTTGCTCAGCTGGGTCAAATGGTGGTGCTTCCGTCATCTTTCACTGGAAGACCTCGCTACATGCATGAGCGGACTCAAGACGCTATGACATACGTCCGTTATCATGGCCGTCCTGATCTGTTCATCACCTTTACCTGTAACCCAAAGTGGAATGATATAACAGATGCATTATTGCTTGGGCAAAAGTCTTACGATTGTCACGACATTATAGCTAGGGTATTTCATCTTAAGGTGAAGATGATGGCACTTTTGAATAAGGGTAGTCTGTTTGGAAAAGTGTGGTGCTTTATGTACTCTGTGGAGTGGCAAAAGCGAGGTCTGCCTTACATCCACATATTGCTGTGGCTAGAGCAGCGCATCTTTTCAGACATGATCGACAAAATCATCTGTGCGGAAATACCTGATCCTTTAAAAGACTCTCTTCTCCACAATATCGTTAAGGCCAACATGATTCATGGTCCATGCGGAGGCTTAAATCACAATTCGCTTTGCATGAAAGAAGGCAGGTGCAGCAAGAGGTATCCTCAAATACTTTTTAATGACACTCAGACAGGAGATAATGGATACCCGCTGTATCGGAGGAGATCTCCAGCTGATGGTGGTTCACTGTCGAAATCAATGGAATAGAGCTGGACAATCGTTGGGTGGTGCCGTACAACCCTGTACTGTTATGTATTTTCAATGCTCATGTCAATGTGGAATTATGTAGTTCTGTTAAGTCTATCAAGTACATTTGCAAATACGTGAACAAGGGAAGTGATCAGGCGGTTTTTGCTTTGGAGAGTGAGAAGGATGAGGTGAAGTTGTACGAGAGTGGGCAATACATCAGCAGCTCAGAGGCAATTTGGAGAATTTTAGCGTTCCCTATTTATGAGAGGTATCCCATTGTCTTTCATCTCGCTGTTCACCTTGAAAATGGTCAGCGTGTGTATTTCAACTCTAAGAACTTGGCTGAAAGGCTCAATAACCCTCCTCAGACAACACTCTTAGCTTTTTTTGAACTTTGCAAAACTGACGATTTTGCAAAAACCCTCCTGTACTCTGAGGTTCCTTCATACTTTGTGTGGAAAAATAACAAGTTTGTGAGAAGAAAGCGGGGAAAGGATGTTGATGGTTGGCCAGAAATAAAGAAGGACTCCGCGCTGGGAAGAGTGTATACCATTCATCCAAACAACACCGAGTGTTATTATCTTTGTTTGTTGCTACATGAGATTTGAGGTCTAACGCCTTTTTTAGATTTAAAGACTGCGAATGGTGTCTTCTGTCACACATTCCAGTCCACATGCAAGGCATTAGGTTTGCTGGAAGATGACAAGCAATAGGACAATACCTTGGAGGAAGCTGCATTATGTGATTCCCCTTTAAAGCTGAGAGAGCTTTTTACAGTGATGTTGGCATTCTGCCAACTTTCAGAACCTCTGAGTCTTTGGGAAAAGTACAAAGACAGCTTCTCAGAGGATATTACGCGGCAGGTGGAGAGAGAGTTGCAAGGCAGTGCGCAACAGGTGATGGATGAGGTGTACAATAGATGTCTGGTGTTGATTGAAAACGCAGTGGTGGCTTTGGGAGGAAAAGAGTTGCAACAGTATGGCCTGCCTCAGCCAAAAAGATCTGGAGGAGTATTGGGGAACCGAGACTATTTGAGGGAGACAAATTACGACGTAAATGCCTTGACAGAAGTGGTGTCGAATAACGAGGGTTTATTGACAGATGAGCAGCTCGCTGTTTATCGGCAGGTTCTTAGTAGCGTTGAGTCAGGTGCTGGTCAGGTATTTTTCCTAGATGCTCCTGGTGGTACTAGGAAGACCTTCCTTATCAATTTACTTCTGGCGAGGGTAAGAAGTGATCGTGGAATTGCATTGGCTGTCGCATCATCAGGTATCGCTGCTACGTTGTTGGAGGGAGGGAGGACCGCTCACGCTGCTTTTAAACTTCCTCTGAATTTAATTCAAACAGAAAAACCATTGTGCAATATTTCAAAACAAAGTAACATGGCTAAAGTATTACGGGATTGTAAGCTCATTGTTTGGGATGAAAGCACCATAACACATAAGGGGGGTTTTGAGGCATTAAACACAACCCTCAAAGATATTAGGGATAACGATGGAGTAATGGGGGGAGTGACCGTGCTGCTTGCTGGAGATTTCAGACAGACTTTGCCAGTAGTGCCAAGGGGAACTCGAGCAGACGAAGTCAAGGCGTGTGTAAAGAAATCACATTTGTGGTCCCTTATTAGGAAAATCTCTATCAGGAAGAATATAAGGGTACACTTGAAAAGTGATGTTTTTGCAAAGCAATTTTCAAAAATACTATTAAAAATTGGAAATGAAGAGTATCCTGAGACGGAAGGAAAGGTGATTATTCCTGCGAGTCTAGGTTTAGTAGTAAAAACCCTAGAGAGCCTTATTAATAAGATATACCCTGATATTGCGGATATCAAAGAGAAATCTATGGATTGGCTGTGCGAGCGTGCCATTCTGACCCCTAAGAATGATAAAACTGGTGTCATTAATGACATTCTTCTTAAATTATTTGAGGAAGAAGAATTGAATTAGATCTGTGGACTCGGTGGTAGATACGGATGACGTGGTCAACTACCCAGTAGAGTTCCTTAACACAATGATCCCTCCTAGCTTACCAGCCCATAAGCTTTTTCTTAAAGTGGGGGCACCAGTGATGTTGAGAAATTTGAATCCGCCAAAACTTTGCAATGGCACAAGGCTTCAAGTGAAGGCTCTACACAGAAATGTTATCGAGGCCACAGTATTCACCGGCTGTGCACGGGGAGAGACGGTATTTATACCACGCATACCACTAATATCATCAAAGTATCTTTTTGAGTTTAAGAGGTTGCAGTTCCCTATCAAAGTTTGTTTTGCGATGACTATCAACAAGTCCCAGGGGCAGTCGTTAAAAGTAGCAGGAATTGATTTAAGTAAGGACTGTTTCTCACATGGGCAGTTCTATGTGGCATGTTTGAGAGTGAGCTCACCAAACAGTCTTGTGATACTAGCGCCTGAGGGGAGAACCACTAATGTGGTATACAAAGAAGTTCGAAAATAGAAAAAAAGGTCATAGATATTTTTGGAGAATTTTTAAAAAGAAATTATGATAAAAAATATAATGTTTGCAGAAGAGAAAAAAACATGTATGTGAAAGGCATCATGCCTGTTTGAGAAAACAAATAAAGAGAAAAACATGTGTGAAAAAGGTTTATATAATTTTGCCCATTTTTATGGAAAAAAATGACCTAATCTCAAAAAATGAAACGAAAAGAATGATATTTTGACATACTAAATAACTTATTAACGTAAAGGACAAATTATTGAATCAATTTTTTTTAAATATAAAGGAAGATGTTCTGATTCATTGATTCATTAACGCCAAGCACAAACCACTGAACTAAATTTATTTAATTCTATATAAATATAAGGAAGATGTCCTGACTGAATGACTCATCAACGCCCAGTCAAAACCCATGAACCTAGAAACATGAAATTTGGAGATAAGCACCTACTAAGAAGGGATTTTTAGAAATTCGAATCCTAACGGGGTGAAAAGGGTTAAAATTTATTTACACGGATTTGTTAATATCTCTTAGGCACGATGAAAGAGTAAAAGACACCATGTCTGTAAGAAACACCATATCTGTAGGAGACACCATGTCTGTAAGAGATACCATGTCTGTGAGAGACACGAAGTTTATTGGAGTCATAATGTAACAAAGCACGGATTTCTTTACAGTGGAATAGGCCTACTGGGGAAACCACTAAAAAAAAAACGCATTTACAATAGTACCTCAAGGGTGA